TGTGACCCGAAAATCCTGTAAATTATGTCGAATTAACAAATGTTTTGCAGTGGGAATGAGAAAGGTATTATAGGAATGTAACAATTATTATTTATCACAATGCTAATTTATTATTTATTTATGAATACTTGGGTTTAATTAGGAATTGATTCGCAAAGAAAGACACAGACTTTTTATGTTGAAAACTAATAGTGAATATAATAATTTGGTAGATGATAATACTAACGATTCAATCGAGTTTCAAATACAATTAAATGAAATAAGCAATCGTTTCATTCAAAATAATACTACAGATATATGTTTGAAAACCTATCAAACAGATAAAGCAATACCTAAAAGGGATAGGTATGCGTTAATTCGTGACATATTTAGAAATAATAGCATTGATGAGAATCAGCAAACTATGATAAACATTGTGGCAAATGTTATGTCAATCATAAGACCCATCACTGACTATAATAACACATTGAATGAGAAGGAAGGACTCCGATTATGTGAACTATTAAACGCTTCAAATGTATTGAGAGATAAATGTATTAACAAATTGATTGAAGAGCAAAGACATGCAGAGGCGCTCAAAGTTATAGTCAATAATTGGGAACAAATTACACATAATATCATCGAAATGTCAAAACAGTTGACACTTTTCACGGAAGTCTGCAATGAGGACCAAATCGCGCTAATAAAGTACGGGTGCATTGAAATGAGTTGTATCCGACATGTTATGGCCTATGATACCCCGAACTCGCTTATGACTATTACCATGGTATGTTTATTAGAAATCCTTTGTTATAAACTCAAAAAATAATTGTAAAAATATAACATTTACTGAAAGGAAAACGGAAACTCGACAATTATAAAGTTGTCGGTCATAAAGGAGGCCAAACCAGATATATATAATTTATTTGAAAAGTTTTTTGATCAATTTTATCCACAATGGAATTGTGACCCTGTTATAATGGACTTGGTATTTAACAATTAAGAATTTTAGTAATAAATATATTTTAAAAATATTTATGACTTAGATGATAGCCATAACACTCTTTAACCCCAACCGTCCAAACCTTATATATAGAGATGTGGTTAAGTAAGTGGTATATAATGTAAAATATTTTGACACAATTTGTAAATATTTGTTTTATAGACTTCAACAACACATTTATGTATATTTATTGCAACGATATTTACAATTAAAGTATCACTCCATGGATGAGGCGAAGTCAAGACTCATTAAATTATTGAAAAGTCTTCAACTATTGAGAACTTTGAATGAAATTATTGCTAAAGATTTCTACGAATACGGAAACATATTTATGGGACCACTTTATAAAGAGATCTATGGATTATAAAATTATTTTTTTCTTAATTATTTTATATTTAATTATTTATATTCATTAAATTAATAATAATAATAATATTTTGGCATTGTCAAATCTAGTATATATTGTAGTTTAATTTTATAAATATTACTATGATACTGTACTTTCATTAATATTATATTTGTAATTTCCCATAATTTCCCGTAATTTTAATAAAAAGTATTCATTCAAATTATTTCGCATTATTACATTTACAATTAGAAGTATATGTGTATGTAATATATAGTGTACTGATAATTTATCTTATCAATGGACAATTCATAGAATCATAATGGTTTGTTGTGTTAACTAAGGTACCATATTTCTAGTGAATTAGGTGCAACATATGGTAAATAAAAATAAAAATATTTCATGTAACCTTTCAATTAACTTATACTCAATAAATCTTTTTATTAGAAAACTCACATTAAATTTATATTTTTAATGTAATACGATGTACAGTAAAAATAATCCTAATATAAAACACACAATAATGTATTATTACAAATGTGCAAAGAATGTTTTATTATTATAGTTTACTGTGCATGCTGCAAATGCAATAAACGGTAGTGTACTTTAGGTCATTTATAGATATTAACTTCTAAAACTTGATATGAATTAACATTGGTGCCATGGTGTCTCAAAACCCCCATACTGTCTGGTGATAAAAATGTTAATTGTAATGTAAATTACTTCTACTATTACACAGATTGACAAAATTAACAGTTAATAATTAATATAAATAGAAACAAATCAAAATACTTTACAAAATAAAATGTTACTACTTATGAATAATATAATATTTTTTTATTGAGATAAAAATGTTAATTGTAATGTAAATTACTTCTACTATTACACAGATTGACAAAATTAACAGTTAATAATTAATATAAATAGAAACAAATCAAAATACTTTACAAAATAAAATGTCAAATACTACTTCATCCGATATGAAATGTGCGGTTTGTGATGATATAGCATGTGGTGAGTAAAAGTAATATTAAACATATTGTATTAAATTATTTATAGCATAATTCTTATATGCTATATATATGCATAATTATTTATTTATATGTACAGTATATTATGTGGAAATTTATTAATTTAATAAACATTTCTTAATACAATAAAAAAATATTATATTATTCATAAGTAGTAACATTTTATTTATTCAAAATTTAGGCCAGAATTATATGGTTTGGACGTGTGTTTCGTGTAAAACCTTTTTCCGACGCAATGCACTCAAGCATACTGTAAATCATTATTTAGTATCTATTACAATTTTATTATACAACTATATTATTTTCAAATATACACCCGTATATTAAAATAGCGATTAAAATGTCCATTCGATGGTCAATGCAGAATGAATTCTGTGACCCGAAAATTCTGTAAATTATGTCGAATTAACAAATGTTTTGCAGTGGGAATGAGAAAGGTATATGATATACGGTATTACGATTATTAATAATATTTATTGTCTATTATTATATTATATTCAATTAGGACTGTATTCGCATTGAAAAACAAAGACTCTTAATGTTAAATACAAACAATGAAACGACTATCGACTCGGTGGACACTGAAATTCAATCAAATGAAATAAGCACTAGTTTTAGACATCGAGATCAATTGAGAAATATTCATTTCAAAAACTATTCAACTAATCGACAAATTTTAAAACAAGATAAATATGCGATAATTAGTAATTTATTTAATAATTATGGTGATTTGCAAACTATGGCAAATTTCGAGACCAATGTTATGTCAATCATAAGACCCATCACTGACTATAATAACACATTGACTGAGAAGGAAGGCCTCAGATTATGTGAACTATTCAATGCATGCCTTGTGTTGAGGGATAAACCGGTAAACAAGACGATTGTCGAGACCAGACACGTAGAGGCTGTCAGAGCTGTGGTTAATAATTGGGAGCAAATTACACACAATATCATCAAAATGTCGAAACAGTTGGAACTGTTCAACGATATCTGCAATGAGGACCAAATCGCGCTAATAAAGTACG